CACACACACACACACACACACACACACACACACACACACACACACACGTCTAAGTCGCAGCTGGGAAACATTAACTAGATCAGAGTAGTCAGACCGACCAGTAAACGCAGGGAACAGCACGTGTAGACTTACAAAACACACAGTGAGCAGCACATGGGAGCTCATTCCCCTTCTTTTATATCGTGCGTGTTTTCCTTGTGCCTACGAAAATACACACTCACCATGTGCTCGAAACATTTGTGTATAATTCTATATGACACCATGTTTCCTCCCCTTTCGTTCCACATGTGAGGTTTTCACTGGCTCTTGGACGGTGTGGTTGTCGGTTTTTTCACGGGACAACAAAACTAACTCCAGTCTAAAGTTTTAACATAAGCAAGAGAGTAAAACACATTTAGTACCAGCTACAAATGAAACTAATATCTCCTGCTGATGTAGTTTGAGAAACGAACTTTGTTATAATTGACATCTTATGAAAGAAATTTAAAGTGACGCTTCCTTTATTATTCATCAATGCTATTTAATTTCTTACACTGCTTTTTAGTGTTTTAATGACTGTTTTTAATGTTTCAATCAATGTTCTTAATTGTTTTTAAATCTCCTTTTCTTTTGCCTTATGTTTTGATGCTTTTAATGGTTTTATGTGAAGCACTTTGAATTGCCTGCGATACAAATAAACTTGCCTTGCTTATGTATTCATTTCACACATTTATTTGACAACAGTATTTTGTATATTATAGAGAACTGAAACTGTTAGTAGATCGACAGAAGATTTATCAACAAATATTCTGGTAGTTGATTAATATATTTGTATACAATATTTGCTAGTTTTCTTTAATTTTATAGACAAATTGATGAAGAGAGAATAATCAGCAGATTAAAGGAAAATTAAAACAATAGTTAGCTGAAGTGCTAAACGTGTGACTTCTTAACTTAGATAAAAAAATAAGTGAGGTGGTGACATAGCTAGTGTGCGTTACAAAAACATACAAAACAACGCTATGATTGGTCTTTACTAGAACATTCAGCACAATGTTAGACATCTACCGTATACAGGAACCAGCACTGTATTTATTGAGGCTTCCACATCATTCTAACCTGTTTTAATGTCTTACCCATGAATGAGCCTGTGCTGCAGATGAGGCTGAAGAAGCAGCTCTCTGGAGGAAGAGTCCCACATTTACTGAAACAAAGAGTACACAAAAACATGAATCAGAGAAATACTGTGAATCAACCTACGCTCACTATACAGCAACAGCACCACTAATTCGCCTCCTACGTTGTGCAATATATCATTTCTGCTCATACAGTAAGGAAGTGGGGAGGAGCCACGTTTCCTTACATCCCATCATCGAGTCTTTGACTTTTCACCCACAGCGTACTCTCTTCTAGGAATGGGAAATGTTTGTAGGAGAGGAAGGCAGGAGACAGTCGACACAAGCCTTCTGTGCCAGAGCTCCTGCTGCCTACAAAGCCAAAGCCGCCTCAGCTGACTGCAGTCACGGACACGCACATTCTTCAGCACATTGACGGAAATGTAGATAACTCTTTGATGCATTTAATATTTTTGATGGATGGTTATGTACATTTAGTCAGATATCAGTATTTATATGTTTAAATATACAGTAATATAGAGGAAGAATGTGCATTTCTATTTCTGTTGAAGTTGCACAAATAGTTTGAGGGCTACTTAATATTTCTTATACGAACCCCGGGATTAACAACATACAACTGGCCTTTGATGTTCGGTGCTCAGTGGGAGTAAAAGCTCAACAAAAGAGCGGGAGTGTCTTGATTTCCTCCCAAATGTAAGCCGACGCCTCTCTCTCTCTCTCTCTCTCTCTCTCTCTCTCTGTGTGTGTTTACACGGTGAAGTGCAGACCCATGCTTTGCCTCTGAACTGCCACGGTGGCAGGCAGGATATTTCAGCCCCAAGTTATTTTCAGAATGCGCGCGCACGCACGCACGCACGCACACACACTCACACACACACTCACACACACAGTCTCCTTCAAGCTCACTCGCTTTTTATCAACAATGTGCCGACAGGGGTCAAGTAAAACAATGCCGCAGTGTTCCTGTTGTTAAACTTCAGACACAAAGAGACAGAACAGAGAGGTAGGGCTGGGTTGAGGGTGGGAGTCTCTCACTGACCTGATGAGAGGTACATTGTCTAGTGTGCAGCACAAGGTTGGCCCGCTCTGCAAAAACAGATCCTCTTCACATGACTGGTTGTATAACCTGGAACATCAAACACGCGCACACACACACACACACAAACATTAAGTTAATGTTAAAAGACACACACACAGAGCAAAATCACATTTATTCTATGTTCAATCCTGCTGGGAAATCACCAATTGCCAAAATTTGGTTCAAAACTAAAGCAAACCAACAGACATATTGCTGATTATTATTATCACATGTATTCTCAGAATGTCTGGGATAAATAATGAAATAGTAATATAATGTAAATGTCTTTAGATTAAACTACAGGAACATAAACTGCCTTTTGTCGGGTCACTAACAGGCTCTCTTCTGTGCTTAGCGTCGCTGAGTCAAAATGTCAGAGACCGTCAGATAATAAATAGTAGCTCTGATGTTAGAGATTAACCTCAGTTTCTCTGAAACAAACCAAGGGTCCAGAGAAATGGTCGGTTACTCATTGACGGGGCATGATTTAAGAACAATGATTGATGTTAAATCCCACTTTAGATCTATGCTAATGCGCTGCAGTTCAGCGTTTTGTTTGTAGTGCAAGAGTTTGTGAGCGTGCAGGAATCAACAGAGGCATCATACGGCAAAATGCAGGATGAATAGCAACATACCAGTTATCCACAGGGCAGACGTGCTGATTGTAGAGCGCCATGGCATACCTGCAAGAGAGAGAGCAGGATGAGCCACATGTGATTTTAGGATTACAGTGTCATCCAAAGAGACCTGATGAGTAATAATTCAGAATAATAACTGACTTTTAAATTACCACAATTGAAAATGCAGTTAACTCTCTATGTGCATAGCTGGTTTTGAATTGGCCATCTATACTTAAATGTCATCTGTTCATATCCTGCCGGTCTGACCTGCCGCGGAGTTTTGTACCCGTTTTGTTTTTTTGTCAGGTGACCTGACATTTGAATGTCTTTCTTCTCGCTCTAAACACTCAGGACAGAAAAGACCGGTTTGTGTCGGTCAAACTGGATTGTTACTGCGGTGCATTTGGTCGGGTCACTGACCAGCTTCATCCACAGAGAGGTCAATGACCAGAGGATCAACAGATCAGATACTGTATTCTGAAAGCTCAAGACCCTTATTGTACTTCAGATACTGCTTTTATAGTCAACATGCTCCACAGTAACCATATAGAATTATGCATGATAGTTTTAGCACTAATTCTGGTTGGACATCTCCGGGGGGGCAAAGAGAAACTCTGCAGGGAAAAGCTATTGTCATGTTAGCCCCTCGTTGTTCACACAGGGAGTAAAGGCTGATCAAAGTAATACTTTTAACTGACAGAGAAAGATAAAGTCAGACACAGGGAGTGTGTCCTGATTCGTGAAAGCAGCCGTAGTTCAGCGGGAGGTTAAGTACCAATTAGGAACGTTTTCCCGGGCCGATGGTATCCTCCTCACAAACTGGTCTTTAAAGGACAGAGACATATAATAAACACACACACACAGCTATCCAGACTGCACTAACAAGCACAGACACACATGTCAATGCACGCATACAGGATTCATGATCAATCGGTAAGAATTAAAAGCTGAACATCCTAATTTGAGTTCACATCAGTGTGATAAAAATACAGTATAGCATAGCTGTGTAGAGTTATATCATCTCTGCGTGCTTCATACTAACTGAAAAAAAAAAAATCAGGGCAGGAAGTCTCTTTCAATAATAATAATAATCCAATAAATATTGCAAATATGCGTTGAGTGTTTCATAGCAAAGCTGCACAGTTTCAGACGCACGTTCAGCTCTGGTTGAAGGCAGCATCAAAAGAATAGGTGAGACAACATCCACTGAACGCGTCGGCTCAATGTTTTAATCCATTAAATACACAGATGCTTGCCATCAGTCATAGCTCGTGTTTAATATTCAATTTTGTGGTCTCATCAAATTGTATCTCTATGTATTGTACACTATGAGGGATCTACCCCGAAAATGCTCATCTTCAAACGTGTGAGCCAGCAGAGGTCAGGAGTCAATCCAGATTGGTTCCTTGCCCAACGCCACATGTGACTGGTGAAATGCATGTGTATTGACCGACTGCAGCAGACGTTTGGTTGACTGGTTATCGGTTGGCATTCGGGTGTGTGAATCCCCACGTGAGAGTCCTATGAACCAGATGGCAGACATGTAAAGAGCACTGCTCGTGCATAATGCAGGGAGGAAACCCACTGGGGTGAGTGGAGTATGGCCGTCAGGTAGAAAGCTGCCAGAGCGCCAACACAACGACACCAACATGACAAAAACATGTTCCTTAAAGCAACTGTAGAGAATAACCACGGGACTTCATCAGACTAAATACAGGAACAGAAACCGTGGCCAGATAAAGTTGTAATTTTCTACAACTCTTGAGACACTTTTTTTATTTTACATTTGGTCAGCTTCCAAAGCTAAAATAGCAGCAGTTCAGCTCTGGGACATTTCTAAATAAAGAGGTCTTTTTTAGCGGTGTGTGAAACTAAACTGGTGCATTCTGTGCTTGGAGGAGTATATAAGTCAGTAATAATAGGTTTGTTTACATAATTAGACCTCCATCAACGCTCAGCAGTGGTTGTAAAATGTAATTGCATGCCTGAGAGCAATATAACGGTGGAACAGACCATATATGTTTTTTTGTATTTAGGATTGAACAAGGACTTAACAGAAGGATCTGGTATGGCCAGTGAGAATTCCCAAAACTTGTGCAAAAATAACACATCAGGAAAATGTGTGATGCATAAACTATGAATCTTAACTGCTCACATGTATAGTGGAGCCACGCTGATTTTTCAAGCACGTTGTTTAACTCATAAAAAGGTCAACAAAAGAAAGCCGAGACTTTTTGGGTGGAAACAATCCTTCCTCTGCCTCCACACAGACCTTTGGTACACTGTGCATCACGGCCACCAGATGCTGAGGGAAAGTTCTGCTGTCGTTCTCTATTACACCTTCCGATATTTACCTTACTCCCAGCCACTCACCCACAGTGAGAGAGGGAGTTACGCAACATGTCACATCCTTTGACATTCCACTAGTCTAGAAACAAGGCGCCCTTGTCAAGGTAACGGGAAGGAAATGGGTTTAAAGGGACCGAGATAGTCAGCAGCATTCGGCATCTTAACTTTCTACCGCAGATACAAACGTCAAAACGAGGAAGAAATGTGCAACACCAGCACAAAATTTTCACGTGCACATTCTCCAACACAAGCATAGGTCTGAAGCAACATTAACAGTTAAGTCCTGAACACCTGAACTCCTGGTCAGACTGTGAAGCGGCCATGTTGACAAGCACTGATTGGTGTGCACAGTCTCAGCTTTGGCATCCAATTAAGACAGCGTACTCCCCACGGTACTGAGCATAGAGGTAGACTACAACAATCTGGAAGTGGGCCATCTGTCTGTCTCCCCTTGGGGTTAGCATTCCTCCTCCCGCAGTAATAACAAAGCAGAGAGCTGTCAGCCCAAACATAGCCAGGAGGTAGTTACTCTTTCTGCTCCGGTACAGCTGCTCAGATACCATGCTGCAGATAATCAAGAGACTCTGTGAACCTGCACGTCTCTCTTTTAAAAGTGATAATTCCGTATTCCTTCCTGGAGAGAGTTAATCCACATGCAAGCGCCATGGCTGCCAGGAGTTCTGGGTAAATATGCAGTGTGCAACAGAGGCTCAGGTATCAAAAGGATTTTGACAGAATTTGTAAGAATGTGGCCTGGTTATCACTGTGTGTGTTCTACGTGAAAGAACATTTGCATAATATTTATAGTCTGCTATGTGCACGGTGATATCTGACAATAACATATAGATGTTAGATTTTAATTGTATTCAAAACAAAAACAAATTGGTCAATGGCTTTGCAGGCAGAACAAGTGTGTGAAATCCATTTTTATGGTTCTATTAAGCAGTAAAAATGGATTTTATGGAGTACCCTAGAGGGGATTTGCTTCATTGTTGCAGCATTGCACATGGTTATGTCGACGTGGAGTTATAAATTGCTTTTGTTTGTACATGCAAAATGTAAAAAAAATCGGCCGGGGATCAGGTGATTTCTTTGTTTCTGTGGAAAATAATGTTTCTTTCACTTTTGACAGACGGTTACTGGATTGGCTGGAAGAATTACTCTGGCATCACAAAATCTTACGCTCTTACATCATAAGCTACATAGCATCCTTGACGTAAAAGGAAACTTGCACTGAGAACCACCCACTACCAACGCAGCAGTCTCACGTCACTTGAAGAGGTACTTAGAGCTTAAAACATGGATTTAACTTTCTTTTTACTGCCAAATAAATATAAACACTTACACAACCCATATCCCAGTGATGGTCAGAACCGGGAGGCTGACGGGCAGTATCATCCAGAGAGACATCTTCCAACACCTGGAGCAGCCACTTTCTTCTTTTTCCTCTTCGGCCAGCCGAGCAATATCTGCTCGAGTAGTACTAACATTTAACTGAGTGTGGCTGACATCTGCATCGCCATCGACTGATTCATCTTCTTGAAGATGGAGGATAAGTAGATGGACCGATGTGTCCTTTGAGCTGGTGAAGGAGAGGAGTGAGTTAGGATCATTCATCTACTCATCAGAGAGCAATCATCAAGCCAGTTGAAGTAATCTAAGATCTGACACGTTGTGGTCAGGGTTTGTGTGATGCTCACGTCACTTTAATGTACACAGATGAGTGTATGTAGGGGTTACATCACTAACAAAAGCACCTGCTGTACAGAGATCCAATAGACTACAATATAAACTCAATACTACTTTAGTGAAGCGTTGATGTTCTATTCTTCTTCAGTCAAGATGTTATATTGGACTGACTGGACCTTAGCTGGTAGTTTTTGTTATTTCAACTTTTAACAAACTGGTTTATTTAATTAACACAAGTAATGACTTTCCTTTATAATAAGTAATATAATCACGTAGTTTTACTCACATTTCTATTTACAACTATTGTTTTGTAGGCTACATGCTAACAGCTGCTCACCTTCACGTCCCACGCTAGCATCAAAAGCACATCTAACGTTACTCACCTTATTCCTGTCTGTTAGCGAGCAACTTTTTGATGTTTTTTGGTAACTTTGAGTACGCCGACCTGTCCTCAACACCTCTGGTAGCACAACACTATTCCACACCGCACTCGCGGGACACGGAGGAGTCTTATTTTTTGTATTTAATCCTGTCTTGTCTTTCCCGAACGAATGAGATCCCGGTAGCCTGTTTTTCGCTTTGAATTGAAGAGGGGGGAGGCTCGCTCTCACGCGCATTCGGACTCGTTGCATCCCCGCCACGAGACACTCTGGAGGATCCAGCTGTTTGACTCCGCCCACAAACCTGTAGTGGCGGTGTGCGTTGGGTTTGTGTTTGGTGGCGGACCGAGTGAGCGGGTCGGCGGGGTCGAAAGCCACATAACGACTAAAAATCTGTTTCATTACACTGTGTGTCGTCTTTTTACAGTATAATTATGCGGACACATTATTTCACAGTTGACATTTTGAATGTGTCGAAGCTCGGTCACTGAGAGAAGTAAACCCAGCTGTTTCCCAGCAAGCCATTCAGATGAAGGAGGAACGATACTCATTTCCTGATAAGTTCCTTGTTGTAGGCTTTATCAAAGTCAATTTGATGTGCCTCTTACAAAATAACAACTTATTTTTAATCTTGTTTTTTGATGGATCGTTTGCTTATCTCAGTCTATAACCAACTACATCTGTATGTAATTTAAAACCACATCTGTTAAAAAAGGATAAAACAATCGGAATATGTTTATCCTAAAAGTGTGTGTTTGTGTGTGTGATGCTACCAACAACATGTGTTCTGCTGCCCTCTGGAGCTTTAATTTGTTAATGTCTCTACATACCGGTATCCCCCAATGAGGGCCGGATGATGTGGGCCTGATGTCTGGTAATTATTGATCAGATATACTCTCAATATTATTTGATCTCCTGTTGATTTTCATGCTTTGAACACATTGATTACATTGATTTGTCACTTCAAGCACACAAAAGATAGCTAAGAGACTGAAATGTTTGTGTGAAAAAAAAACAGCAACTCCAGTGACAGATAAATCAGTAAAACTTTAATTAAATGTATTATATGTCAGTATCGCATGCTTTAACATAGTATAGAAAATATATGGAGTATAAACTCACATCAAAATCAATTATTGCATATTTTTCCTACTTACAACTGACACATTTGTTTAGCCACAACGATTGGTGATCAAAAGACCACAAACAGAAAAATTCATAAAATTCATACATAAGGAAAAAATATAACGTTTAGCAATAAAAATAATTAATCAAACACCCTGTCTCAAATGTTTACAACTAAATTGAGAATATTGTGTGATTGTAATGCTAATTACTAGCACTATGGCAACTCTCCTACAGTTTTATAGTTGTACCAAAGCCCCACACACTGAATGCCGGGTAGAGAGGCTGAGTAAATGTGGTCTGGACTCTGTGCAGAAGCTGCATGCCATCAGAAACACTGTAAAATGCGAGTGTTCCTGCTGCATAATCCAGGTAGATGCCGACACGAGAGGAGACTGGAACTGGAAGATCTTTGCTCTTGTTGTTGTGCACAAAGGAGAATTTGGAGTCAGAGCAGTACAGACTCCAGGACATGTCGTTCCAGCCCAGGCTGCATTCATTGCTGTTTCCTTTACGGCGGATTCCCCTGTAGGTAACGGCTATGTCTATCTCTGTTCCCCTCCAGTCCACCTCCCAGTAACAGCGACCAGTCAAGCTCTCCCTGCACAACACCTGCAACGGAATGGATGAAATGAGAGATTAAAAGACAAAGCCTGTGCATGGTTTATAACAGCTGTCAAAATGAGAGTTTGCTCAACTTATGCTGAGACATCACTCACTGCAAGTACACAACTGACAGCACTTTTATCATAACAATAACTTCAAAGGCTTATACTAAAAGCTTGATTTTGATAGCAATGTTCAATGAATTCCAGGAAGAAACTGCGCAGCTTCAAGAGGGCAAATCAAAGATAAAGTTCCTGGAAAGGGAAGTCTCCTTGAGACTATATTCAGGAAGACCGTATGCCCCCTTCTCTTCATCATGTTGGCTCTGTACCATTCACAACATATTAACTCCCCCCTCATGTTTTCAGGCACAAAATGACATCCTGGGGGTCAGTAAATGCTCACCTGCTGCCAGTGGTCGAATCGATCTGGGTGGTCAGGGTAGTTCTTAGGCTCACTCTTCATTGTAGCCGATCGGTTACCCTCGGAGAGGTAAAGGCTGCGATGGATACTGTTGACATCCAGAATCAACTGGGAAGAGTCTACACAATGCAGGACACGGCCATTATTAATCCCTTTTCGTCAAAATTTGAAATTCTTGTGTTTAGTATTGTGTTGCACACAAACCACCAACAGTAACTAAATACTTGGGACAGTAATATGTTTAGGAATGACAAAGTTAGGGCACTAAAACCTTTGATAAATAACTCTAAATGACTCTCATTCATCAGCTTGTTAAAATGCTTTCCACAGGAGGAGTGCCAGTAGGGAACGCCTGTGTTTGTTTAGTGATACTGGACTGTAAAGTTTGGTTTCTTACATTTCACCAAACCAGTTGTGCAAGTAGCATAGCTTCCGTAACACTCCGTTCAGTTGTTTTTCCACATGGTGTCGTCATGCTTTTGTTAGGGGTTGAGACGCTCCTGCTATATGCCACCATGACTGTCATGTTTTTAAACATTCCTAGGAGCCCTGCAATATGAGTGGCGTTTGATATAACTGCCGAGTAGCTTTGTAATGTTGGTGCTAAAAGTTTCATTACATGTTAAAGGAATCCTCCGTAAAAAAGTAACCTAATAACTCACATTTCAGGAAGTCTTGTCTTGTCTTCGGTTCATCTCTTGTCTTCGGTTCATCTCTTGTCTTTGGTTCGTCCCTCACAATGGATTCTCTCTTTGTCTCACCTTCTTTCGTGATGTAGACATCCTTCACTATTAAGATGCAGATAAAAACACTTCATAAGCTTCAACAGCAGACTAAAACAACAACCACTCCCTGAATGGAACTGCAGAGACGTGTCGGTGCTTCTTGAGATGAAGAAAGGCAAATTTGTGCACCTGTTTCTGAGACATTGCTCATTTCGGTCTTGCTGACTTCTTCTACTTTTAATTTCAGTGCACCGATGGCTCTCTTGGTGGCGTCAAAGGAGTAATTGGGAGCAACACTAACGTTGTTGAGGTCTTCATATCCTGAGGGGCCTGATAGAGACTGATAGCTCTGGTAAAAAAAAGAGTGGAAGATAGAGATGAGCCTAAACATTGCTGATACTGGTTTCTAAGAACCAAACAAGGTCTTCAGTTCAGTATGATCTCACCTGCAGAAAGTGTATGTGATCATCGGTGTTTGAGAGCTTATCCAGGTCAGTGTGCTTCTTCCTGAGCAGAGTGATCTCTTCTTCCAAGCGGCTCAGCAGTATCTCGGCCCGTGTCACGGTGGTCTTCTCGTGGGAGCGGACCATCTCCTTGACTTCATTGTACTTCCTCTCGATGGAAAGCAGAAGCTCAGAGAAGATGCGCTCGTTCTCCTCTAGAGCAGTTTGAGCCGAGTGCTGATGACATACATCCGAAAGAGAAGGAGAGAGTTGGTTCAAATAAGGATAAAAAGCTGTTATTTGTCAAACCAGAAAACCATAATGTCTTTTTGTTTTTAGCATCATCCTATGTTTAAAGTAGTGAACATCTTTTACTCACTTTAACTGATTCAACAGCATGTCGGAGATCCTGCCACTTTTTAACTCTCTGGTCAATCCTATGTTGAGATTTGTACAGTGTGGTACCAAGTTGTTTCTGTAGAGGGAATGGCATTAAAGTATTCATGCCAGCTTTGTATAACAATAAAAAAACATTCAAATCTATCATGTTGTATCTTGATCAGTATCTTGATATAGATTGACAGGTTTCACCACTCACTTGTTTCTCGGTCCTCTCAGTTCCAGCCGGGACAATGTCGTGGTGTTTGTGTTCATCCATCATGCACAAAACACACACCAGTGTCTCATCAGAGCGACAATAAGCCTCCAGCAACTTGTCATGCTGGGCACAGAGCTTCTCCCTCATCTGACCTGTAGCTTTGACCAGCTTGTGCTTCATCAGGGCAGGGTAGTCATAGTGAGTCTGGACATGGGTCTCGCAGTAAGATGCTAGGCACACCAAGCAGGACTTCTCTGCCTTCTGCTTCCTCGTTGTGCAGAAGTCACACAGCACGTCCCCGTTCTGGGCCTGGGACCTGGACTGGTTACGACTGGTAGAGCGTCGGGATTTCTCCATGCTGCTGTATCTGTCTAAATCCAGACTGCTAGGGTGGGACATTGTTTTAGACGTCCAGCAGATATGAGAACAAAATTAAAATCCACAGGTAAGGTTTAGCTCAGCAGCAATTTGTTAACCTCTTAAGAAAATGTGATCAACAGCTGAAGAAAAGACTCCAAAAACTGAACAGGATGAGTTGTCCACAGAGAAAAATTAGTTTCTGAAGTTAACAGCTGCAGTGAAACTGTGTGACTGACACTGTGTGCGGCAGAATGATAGCTATGTGGTCTACTTTCAACGTAAAACCTGTATTCCTGGTTGAGCATTTAATAGACAGGGAATGGGTGTTGCTACAAAGGTGCTGCCTGAAACAAACAGAGCTGAGACAAAGTAGAGACTACCACATTCAAAAAGGAGCCATTATTGATCTACAGTACTTCATAATTAAATGTCATGCTTAACAGTATACGCTTTTATTCTTATTTGAGGATAAGGACAGCATGGATAGCTCAACAAACAACCCTCGCAGAGTGAATTATTTTTAGTGTTGATATAACCTGCTGTTACCTACAAGAATCATTAACTCACTCTGATTGTATCTGCACTGTTAAGGAATGACCTTTACTTGGGTTTATGTGTTTCAAGATCACATTATGTTTTGGCTATCTTTAGATTTCTGCTCGTGATATGTACATTATGTTCTGCACTTACTAACATCATCAAAGACTGGCATTGGGAGAACAGCATCATCTTGTGGGATTAATTAATTACTACATGAAATAATATACCCCTCTGTGGAGCCTCTATAAAGAACTGTGTAGCATTTAAAACAGGGGTTGTCAAACTGTTTTATAAGAAGCTCCACTCTATTGTGCAAACACAACCATATCTTACAACTAATTGACGATAATTATAAAACCAGTTTGTTCTTTAGGCGGTGCTTTGTCGCGAGTGATCACTTCAACACATCCATCTTCCACGATGGATCAATTTCTGCCTTGTTCCTCTGCTTTCACACGTTTGTGCCAGTGGCCTCACTTTCTCTGCTCTACTCGTGCACTGCTTTATAAACCTGTATCTTTGCATTTTTACACTAATGTGGCCAGGACACCAGTTTTCATTTTTATATTTTCCCAACACATTAGGCTGTTTAGATCCTATCATTGTGGCAATTATTAATTATTATTTGTGATAGACTACCTTACTTTGTTTCAAGTGTTTCTACAAGTCAGCTAATGGAAAACACAAATTTAAATTCTTTAGAAAATAGTCTGCATTAACAGTAGTAGCTCTGTGGTAGAAGAAAGTATTAATATCACTGTGTTCACTGTCCAAAGAAATATCAAAGAGGTATTGTCAACAAAATACACTAAGAGTAGGCCTATCGAAAGTAAAAGTACTTATCATAAGACATGGTTTGTTTCACAGTATTATGAACTCATATTATTTGAGGTTATGTACACACTAATATACATTATTATGAAATAAAGCATTCTGCATAATGACAGATTTTACTTTTAGTATATGTTGATGCTCATACTTTTACTAGGTTAAACATTTTAAAGCAAAAAATAGTATTTCTGCTCTGTGGTATTGCTATGTTTTACTTAAGACAGATAGACAGACAGACAGACAGACAGACGGACAGATAGACAGACAGATAGATACTTTATAAAATTGTTCGCTAAAGCAGCATCATGATACAGGTAAGCAATCAAAGTAACAGAGTAAAAAAACATATATTGAGTATAAAAATGCACAATATATACAATAAAAATAACAGAGTAAAAAATCGAAAATAAAAAAATGCACAGTACATACAATGAAATAAAATGACATTAAATTAACTAACTAAACAGTAGTGCAAAGATTTAACCAAACAAACAACAGAGTAGCGGTGAGATGAGAGTACTTCATCACAGTAGGACCGAGCACAGACCGGCGTGTGTCTGTGGGAGCTGCTGTTCGTCTCCCAGGCGGTAGGGGGTGATGTTGGTCTCTCTGCTCTATTGAAAACACAATAGCTGCTTTAGCTAAAGTGCGTCGCTCGTCCAACGTTGGCGCCAGATGAGCTGTGGCGCCAGCAACACACGCAGGCAGAGAGAGGAAGAAGCACATAGCAGTTTGACGAGCCTCACTACAGCTTGCAAAAAAAAAAAAAAAAAAAAAAAAAAAGAGCCCTTCTCACCCAGAGTTTGAAGCATCTCAACGATTCTCCTTTTTCTCTCTCTTCAGCGATCAAAAGGCAAAAGTACAGCAGGTGGGTGTGCATGCAAGTACTTGTACATTTAATATCGGTATGATCCATACTCGTGGCGATTATGCATCGTTTTAAATTCAACTTTCTTTATCGTTAACAAAACCGGCGTAAAGGCAGAGGGGGTGCTCTGTGTGACAGACTATAATCCTATGTATTTACTATGATGGTAGTCAACGCATTGTTTGTTTTGTGTCTCCAGTTATGATAGTACCGAACTTTGTAATGGAAAAACACAGGCCGTGCCTCGCATTGGTTTATACGTTGTGTCCTGAGAGAGAAGCACCAGGACACAACGTTACTGGTACCAGGAACTATCTCATCTTTGACTCTTATCCAGGTTATTTAGAGACTTGTTCGTTATAGAATCGGCCCGGTCGTCTTTTCTTCCATCGGACTCGTTTATCATTGCATGCGAAACCAAGCTCAACATGGTCGGATGGGCGGTTAAGCAAAGCTTCCGCTCTTAATGTCTTAAAAACACTCGTACTAAACTGGAGAACAGCATTTAGCCGTGCTAGCAAACTGGATTAGCTGGCTCGTTAGCTTGTAATCGTGGCTATGTAGCCAGCACGCTAACATCGTCTCGGCTGGATAGCCGCTAACACCAGCAAGGCCGCCATTGGAGTCATATATGTGTGTGTGTGTCTGGAGCTGCCGCAGTAGAGGAGGGCTTTAGGTTTATTATTCACTGAGCCATCTCAAAGCTGGGCCGTATTTACTCGCCCTGTCGTCTTTTTGTTCGGTTACCGTTTTTCAATCACAGTTTGCGGTGGAATTAGTGTCTTTGTGCGGATTCCTGTGTAAGTAAAACGCGTCCCTTTCCCGGGCTTTTCGCTCTGCATTCACCGCCCGGACGGTTAGCCATCTTTGTTTCAGCTAGCCAGCTCCTGGCTGGAGTTACGGTTCGGCTCTTAGCTTGCTAACTTACTTACCATTAGCCTACAACGTCCTATTCAGAACCACTGCACGTTAAACAATTTATTATTATTGTCTCCATATTTCCGTGTTGGCTGAGCGTTGCATGGTTTTGACTTTACTCGGAGATCGCTGCGGGGCCAGCTCTAATTCAGTATGTTATGAAGGGCGGAAGCTAACTCTGCTAACTAGCTAGCGGCAGCCATCTTAGGCGAGCATGTAATCTTGGCTAGCTGGAAGTGCTGGTGTGGCACAACAAGATGGCCCGTTAATACTCACACAAGGACAATTTCCGCGTCGGTAGTGGTGTCATAAACTGCACGAATTTACGCATCTAGATTAATATTTTAGTGTAAGTATTTCGCTCCATTTTTAAGTCTTTTCTACAATTACTCGCATGTATCTTTTGCTATGAAGCTAGTTAGCGGGCTAAATTGCGAACACATTAGCAGCTAACACAAAGCTGTTAACCAGTCCTCCCTCGACCATAGCCAGCTAACTAGCGGCTATGAAGGCTATTTGTAGCTGTTATTGTAGGCTAGCAACCAACTGTTCAATGTTTACTAACAAAGCGGTGCTGTTTAAATGACCCTACACATTTAAATGTGTGTTTAATAGTAATGCACAGCGGACTGCGGCGATAAAAGAAACATGTAGGTCGTTCAGGTTTTGGAAGGCGGATTAAGTCAGAATTGGGAGCTTGATCGTGATGTGGTCCACTCTGATTTTTATCAATATGAAGCTAGCAGATGTATCACTTAGCTTGATAAGTAGTAACTTAATTTCAAGCCAATGATCGGATAGGATGCGTGTCCTGAAGGAAAATGCATATATTAATCTACAAGCTTATGCATCGCTCACTTTGACTAAATTCAGTTTTTATCATAATGCAGCAACCACTGAGAAGTTTTAGATGAAATTAACATAGTCCAATGGATAAACAATAGTACAGAGAACTCATCTAATATTTAGGGATCCCGTTGTCACACTTGTGATCACCTTATGGGTTAACCAAAAACACCATCTGCCTGTCCTGGGCTCCTTTTCTAGCGGAGTTGATGGCAAACTTCTGTTGCATACAAGCAACATTCTCTCCATTTCAATTCACATGTGATTATAGGAGGATAATCCTTATAAAGCATGTGTCAAAGAGTTGTAAACCTGAGATCTTTTCAGTCAAAATGTGTAACTTATATTTCAAATTAAGTAACAATTTTGCCAAAACATCAGAGGAACAATCTAACAGCGGCGATGCTTAATTTGGACTTTTCTCAAAAAAGTGTATAGCTGCAATGTTGGGTTCTCATCAACATGTTGACAAACATACATTGCATCATGTAAAATTAGCAAGAACATTTTTTGTATTGTTGGTAACAAATTACTCTCACTTGACTGGAAACCATTTTTCGGAATAGCTCTGCAAATAATTACTGGCAATGTTATTCTTTCGCTTTCTCTCCCTCTTTTGCAGGTCTCACTGACGAAAGCACCAGCGCGGCACCGACCAAAACCATCTATATCTCCCCGATTCTCTTTGTGTGTGTCATCGCCCGGCAGCAAAACGGAGGTCGTGGGGCTGGAGTGTGTTCTCATGGCCGAGTCAGAGACTGAATGTGACACACCCGGCCTTGACACACTTGGGTCGGAGTGTGTCATAGCCCACAGCCACGTCGACCTTCACTATGGAGCAGAGACTGAGATCATGACAGAAGAAAAGCGTGGATTAGAACTGGAGATTCACGGCTCAGACTTAAAGATCCAGGGACTGGGGACAGATCTCGGTGCTGTAGCCTGTGTGGATGCAATTGTAGCGGAGTCGGACCATGATTACATAAAGGTTGAACACGGTGAGATGCACTGTTTCACGGCTGCAGAAATCAAGACGTCAGGAACCGAGACTCTGCTGGGCGAGGTGCTGCTCAAGGAAAGCGAGCATGTGGTGAAAGTAGAGTCTGACCATGGCGGGGAGTTGACAGTGGAGTCTGAGAATGGTGTAATCATACACGAAGCCCATGGCCTGCAGTGCAACGAGTGTGGGGAGATTTTTGGCAGCATAGCCGATCTTCACCAACACTTCGAGATCCATAAGGACCTCAACCCTTACATCTGTGTCCACTGTGGGGAGAGCTTTGCTGTGGAGGCCAGCCTCAAACAGCACATGAAGATTCATATGAAAGAAAAGCCCTATGTTCCCCCTGGAGTTGAGATTATGGGCAAAGATGTAATTGATGCCTTCAGCCTCAAGTCTCATCAGATGATTCATTTGCCAGACAAGCCCCACAGATGCTCCGAGTGCGGTAAGAGCTTTGCCGCTGCGATCACCTTGAGGGAACACATGAAGATGCATTCAGAAGACAAGCCTTACAAGTGCACCCAGTGTAGGAAGAGCTTTGTCCGCCGAAGGCATCTGAAAAAGCACCAGGAGGTTCACGCACGGGAGAAGCCATATACATGCGGCCAGTGTGGCAAAGGCTTCGCCACAACTTCCAACCTGAAGCAGCACCAGAAGACCCACGCCGCGGTCGTGCTCGGAGACAAACCCCATCGATGTGCACAGTGTGGAAAGTGTTTTGCGGCTGCTGCCACTCTGAGAGAGCACCAGAGGATCCACTCGGGCGAGAAGCCGTACAAATGCAACATGTGCAGGAAGAGTTTTGTCCGCAAACGCCATCTGAAGAAGCATCAGCAAGTCCACGCCGGAGGGAAGCCCTACACCTGCAGACATTGCAACAAGGGCTTCAATCACTCCTCTTCTCTCTCACGCCACCACAAGACCCATCTGCAGAATCCAGTGTTTTCTCCACCTCAGCCTGGGAAAACCTTGTCCTATGGCACTCCCCCAAAGCAGAGGGTGCACCAGCAGGGAGACAAGCCCTACATGTGCCACCACTGTGATAAGGGCTTCAATCATTCCTCTTCCCTGTCCCGGCACCAAAGAGTCCACTCGGAGGGAAAGAGTTACACCTGCGCTCACTGTGGCAAAAGATTCAATCACTCCTCCTCCCTTGCTCGGCACCAGAGGGTTCATTTGGAGAATAAACAGCAGCAGCAACCAGAGCCACCGCAGCCGCCACCGCAGCAGTACAGCCCTATGCCCACAGGGAAGGGATTCCCCAACAACGCCTTCCCAAAACAGCGCACCCTGTCTGTTGAAAAACCATACAGGTGCTCCCAGTGTGGAAAGGGCTTTAACCATTCTTCTTCCCTCTCCAGACATCATAGGATCCATGTAGACCAGTGAGCTCCCTTTCCCGCCCTCACATGCTGTCCCATGCAAGCGAAAAAAAGAAAAGCCCCCCCCCCCCCAATTTTCTGTTCTAACAATGATCCCATCCTTGACGTCACCACGTCGGCAGGAAACATCAGGCCAACTTCTATAGACAACAGGGGTCAGCACATTGTTGAGAAAGAGGACAGTAACACAAGTCTCCAGAGGAGGGCGGGCCGAGTGACCTGTAATTCAGAGCTGAGTCTGGGACTTGTTGATCAATATGGAGGGTATGATGATAGATTGTGAAGGAGCTTCTATTCTTGTTGGTGATTGTGCTTCACTTGCTCCAGGACCTCCTTTTGAACACTTTTAATAAAAAAAGATGAAAAATAAAATGTGATTTGGTGATCTAAAAAATATGCTTCTCCCCCTGGTTAGTCTTTTTGATAAAATAATTGAGTTTATGTACCTTCAGGTGGACGCGTGCGCTTTTCAGCTGCAACTTTATCCAAGGCCAACAACACAATTGATAAACAAGAACTTGTCTCAACTTAAATAATAATTTCTTTTTCACCCACATAACCCATGTGAAACAAACAGAAATCCAGTGTAAATAGTTATTGATTTTTCTTTTATATATATGTATAGGTGACTAGTGTGCTGTTCCAAAAGATAACATTTTTGATAGTAAGATCCATTTTGTCTCCACCCTTTTTTTTTTTTTTTTTTTTTTTTTTCTCCTTCCTTTTTATGACTTTAATTTGTTTTAAGTGTTGGAGATAAACATGTTGCAGGTGTTCTCATGCAGCTTGTTGTTGAATTTGGGCTCCGTCAGATTTGAGCCATCTTGTATATTTATACGGTTGTTTTCTTGTATGTCTACGATGGGTTAGCAACACTGCTGCATCGACTGTACAGGGAGCAATACTGGCTAACACCCTGATTATATTACGACATGCAATTTAGCCGTTAGGAAATGCATAATAGAAAATAAAAACCTACTGGGTAGCATATTACAACATGACCTGTGTCCTAATTATTTACTGTTTCCTCATGTACACGAAATGCAACATCACACTTTGTTTATACCGTTGGCGACTAATTGACTTACTTATGTATAGACTATAGGGGACTCTTACTCATGTGGGTCTTCAAACTTATCACAATTCTGATCTTAAAAAAAAAAGTTTGTGTATACTGAAAGACTATACCCGAAAATCTCACTTTTACAAGGCTCAAAAGATTTTTCCCGAATTCCAATGAATTGCGCTCTATTCTGTTCTGTGTAAAATATCTTTTACAAACTGATGTATTTTTTTAGACATGGCTTGGGTTATATGAAAGGGAATGAGAGATATACAGTTTTTATGGGAGTGAACATTACAGTGAGCAATATTTTACTTTCCCCTTTTTGTTAACAATTGTGCTTCAAACTGTAGCATAGGTCTCTTGTGTTAGATAGGTGCCTTATTGCATGCTATGTAGAAATGTATGCTGAGCTGTTATTTGAGACGTTTTCAGGAGTCTTTTGTTCTTATTCATACTAACCCTACATTTTAATTTGTCACTGATACCTATTGCTTTTTTTGCTTTCATGTATATTATTACAATGTGTTTACACTGTTGCGACCATATTGTCTTTTTTCCCCTTCATTTTTTGTCAATGGCCTCATTGTAGAGAGAAAAATTGTAAATGATCCATATAGGCTTCTCTTAAGGGCAACTCCTGTAACACCTCTTCCCAGTTTCTGAGTGGCACATATATGGATAAATAAAGGTTGTTGACTCTCTTGTGGTGTTCAATCAATGGCGTATGATTTTGAAATGGGAGAAGCGTTCAACCTCACAGCTAAATAAAGACATTGGCACATATCAGTAACGGTGACACTAAATGAGATTAACTTAAGCTAGTTTATTTTCTACCAGTAAGTCATTTTTACAGACTAATGAAATAGTTGATGCACTTCCTAAATGTGTCCACATGGTGTCACTCTACCACCGCAAGTGTTTTGAAAGACCAACACCAGTCACATCACTTCAACGGGGGAAGTTCCACAGGTTGGGTTTTTTAATCACATTTTATAGGACCCATGTCCTTCCTTGAGTCTCAAACTGGAATTTCACCAACACTGATCCAGGCGGAGCTGCCGTGTTAAAGGTGTAATTTGATCTATGTGGGGAAAGCTTCTGGGAATAGCCTGTGAACTGTAAAACTAATATCAGGAAACTTCCCACTCACTACACTGGTTTACATTTCGTCACAGCTGGAGGTCAGACTTCAGATGCCTGTGGAGGCAGAAACGGTTGGGATTCACCGTCACTAACCTTCAGAAATAGGAGCTTCTCAGCCCTCTGGTTTACGTCACTGATATTTACACTAGAGATAGCACTTTAACACGCTTTCTTTAAGCCGATGCAACTGTCCAGGGATCTCCCACCAACTGATAAAGTCATTTAAATTGATGTTATTAATAGTTATTCTAGACACAGTTACTAAACTGGGTAAGCTTTACAAATGTTTATTTTAATGAAACTGGCAGTTTTATTCAGTGATATAATTAAACTAAAGTGAAACATTTGCATCAAGTCAACAATTGGATAAAAGTATTATTGGGCCAACAACAATATTACTTTCTGATAATAAATCTACGGTGGCCCTGAGAGCTCAAAGCACTGCAAGTTAAAACACATGAAATTGAAAATAAAATGCTAAATGCTGCGCATGTGTTGTCAAATAGGTGAAGATGTCTCTTCATTTGTTTGAGCTGAGTCTATTTGCACCGGCTTTCTTAATTCGCGATGTGTCTAACTCTCATGGCCAACGTATAATCTTCAATTTTCTTTGCTTAAATCATTGCAGGTACTCCTCTTCTGTTAATATTAAATGTTTTATAGGGAGCAATAACATGACACAAGAGAAAACCTTATTTGACATATACAATTTTATTTGTGATAATTGCTATATGACAAGAGAAAAAAAGGGAAACTAGGAGATGCTATTGCTGCTATGAACATTTTAACTAATGAGGCATGTAGAGAAGGAAAACTGTACATATGCAAAAAAATGCTGTCAATACACCATGCATTTAACGGCACATACATAAAGAAAGTCCATGAATGGATAGATCATAGTGTATTACCTTTTGTATTATTTACAAAAAGAAAATATATATATGTATACTGTACATCTGTACACAGACCCCTGTTTTAATAGGTATCCATATGTGGAGGTAGGCAACAAAGTGCGAACCCTCCTTATTGGATATGTTTCTGACCTTGCAGTTGCATAGAACTGGAGAGTCCAGTCCAGGTTTTGGCCTTTTCACGCTGAGCTACGTGAAGAGATCTGTCAGCTGCCACACAAAGCTTCGGCAGCCTGCTATACGTTCATGACAGGAGTTAGCTGTAGCAGGGAGCTCTGCGGCCGAATGACGCTGCTCTTTGAATGCAGTTTCTCCAAGTTTTGTAAAAAGCCTCTCCTCTTGAGACCCTCCAGAATGACAGTGTTAGTGGAGGCCAGGCTGACGCGGGTCCTGCAGGGGGAGAAAGGGGGCATGAGGTTGATATCTTCTATAAATATGCTATTTGAATTAGGTGACGTGTTCACGCACCACATCTGTCCACACACATATCAGGGGGCACAGCGAGTTCAGTGAAAGAAAAGAAGTCTTTTCTTCCTCTTTGATTATAACGTGATCATTTAAGTGCTGCACAGCAATTACACATAATTATCAAAATGACTCCCTCCTGTCCAAATACTGGATGCTATGATTGGTCACAAGGTGTTTGTTCAGCTTACTTTAAAAGGAAAAAAACACAAATTGGGAATAAGGCCAATCACAGACATGTAACCCAGAGGTTAACTAACCTCAGTACAGTGTTTATTTTGGAGTTAGCTCGAAAGCTCCTCCAGAATCTTATGGGATTGAGTCCGGTATGGGCTCACAGTCGGAGAGATAAGACCAGAGCTTAAGGTGTGAAAACTGATAAAAACTGGCCTGAAGAGAATGTGGATCTGGGCTGCAGGATTCAGGACCTTTTTTTCCTCTTCATAAAACCTTTTCATCAGTCTCCGTCTGTGTTAGCTGTCTAACTTTCAGTAAGTTCAACGGCTTTGAAAAGATACCCCTGGTCTCAAAGTAAGCTATAATGAAACGGAAACACAATATCACAGTATCTTATTGCAGCTAAAGTGAACAACTTTAAAAAGAGGCACTCACCGAGGAGAATCTATACCACTGTCCCCTGTGATGCTCTGGTTCTCTCCTATTTCCACCGCTTCCCCAATCTCTGCCCCTCTGGCTCCACTGGGCATGCTCAGAACGCCCCTCTGGGTCTGAGGAACACCCGTCTCATCAAGCTCATCCGCCTGCACCACCTCCACCTCAGCGGCCCAGTGAGCAGATTCACCGTCGCCCTCATCAGCCGATTTACGGACAGTCTCTGTGTCTGAATCTATCTCACTGGTCTGGCAGTAGTCAAAGATGCTACCGTCTGCAACTTCAGATCGCTCGGGACAATCCACATGGCGTCTCTCCACCTGGATCAATGTGCCTCCGCGAGGGCTGGATTCACTTTGGGCCCCTGGCGATCTGGTTCTCTGACAGCGATGATGGAGTCTCCAGCCGGTCTCTCCAGGTCTGGTGGGGCTGAGGGAAGCTTCCCTCTGGGTTGGTGGGGGCATGAGATCTGTGAAAGTGCTGTCCCTTGAATCTTGTGTCGAAGCGACTTGTGTTTGGTGAAAGTTGGAATTATAATAGTGCCGGCGGGGCCCCTGATACTGCAAATCAGATTCATGGTCATGGTAAACCAACTGGTGGCCATGGTAGTCCGCTACACCTGTACGGTATGCATTTGCAGCATCGATGATCTCCTCCTCATTCAGACACAAGGAGCTGCAGGCATCCTCATCCTCCTGCTCTTCCGCTCTCTGATAGAGCCGATAGTCGTCTTCTGTAAAGCCGTCAGTGTCTGTTATTGAGGGAGGGCTGTCAGCTATCAGTTCTGGCCTTTCTCTCTGGCTCATGGTCCTTTGCTCTCCTTTACTAATAGTGACGGTTCTTATCTCCCGCTGTTCCTGGGTAGCTGCTGTAGTTTCACAGGCCTGCTGGTGTGAAGAGAACTCTGGCCTCTGAGTATCATCCCTTTGTGGGTTGGAGAGTCTGAGGGAGTGTTTCCCCTGTAAAGAGAGCTTGGGCCAGGGTGGAGTCGGCTCATAAGAGTGGTTTATGACAGTCTCATAGAAATGGGTAGGGAGAATGGCGTTAGTATTAGAGTATTGTTGGATATTAGAGAGGCTGTCATCTATAGCTTGGCTGGGGTCTGGTACACCGTTGTATTGGGCCTCCTGAAAATGCCCATTTTCGCCTTCTCTCTCCCAGCTCTCCTTGCTGTTTCCCTCCCTCTGATGTCGGATCTTGTTGTCTATCCGAAGCGTACTGCTCTGTGGGTAGGCTGAGCTGTAGTCCAGGGGCAGCTCACTGTTGATCTTGATGTCTGCTTGGATTAAATGGTCAGCAGTAAGGTCCCTCTCATGGACACAGCTGTACCTGTCCTCAGATGTAGGGGATTTCCCTGCATGCTCTCCATCTGCTGCGATCACTTTGGCCCGATGGGGGTCCCAGGATTTGGAGCGGTGAGACATTCGATCCTTCCTCCCTGGCCCTGGAACCTTGCCCTCTTTCACCTCTCGCCTTCTATGCTCTTTGTTGCTGGTGGCAGGAATAATGGGCTCAGCTTCTTTGATTGGATGAGTCTGGAAAGGGTTTTCAATGCGTTTCTTATAAAGAGATTTCCCCTCAACAGCTCCATCTTCTTCCACTTGATTTTGTTCATCAACAGGGATTTCCACTCTGAGCCGAGAAGGGATCAAATCCTCCCCCTCTGGATAACTATCCGCACATATGGGAGCCTTACTCTTAACCCGCTCCTTCTCCTTTTCCTTCTGCTTCTCTCTGGAGGAATGGGCCCTCCTTTTGCTGCGAGAGGTCTTCTGAGCAGATCTTTTTCCTGCCTTAGAGGAGTGATGATGCCTGGGTTTTGCTAGGATCTCAGTAGACATTCCCTTGTCTACTCCCTTATCGTCTTTATCCAGACCCCTGTCCAACACTCTGTCTGCCCCTCTTTCCCTTCTCTCCTCCATCTTCTTCATTAAGACCGTGTGGCGTGTCAAGTTGTCCACAGTCAGTTCAGGGTTGATGCGTTTGATGATGGCATGCTCCAGGTCACGGGGCAAGTTGTTCAGGTCCTCCTCGTCTCTTACTGGCCACTCCTCTGGAGGGAACTGGGCTGAAAATGATGTGTACTCCTTCTTCGGTTTCTCCTTCTTACCTCCATTCCTTCGGAACAAATTGAGACCAAACTTCCTCCCCGGTTTGCTGTCTTTTTCTTTGCGGCCAGTGGCGTTAGTAGTGGCTGTAGTTTTGCTGATCTCACTTGCGTGACAATCTGCAGCTGTGGAGGTGGACTGATGCTGCACGGTGGGTTTGTGATCTAACGTTCGGGGCCACTTTAAGCTCTTGCCTGTACATTCACTGACGGAGAAAGAGACAGAATGCTGGTCTGGGACAGTGGAGGGAGGGACGGTGGCTGTTACAGCAGTGGTGGTGATATTGGTGGATGTTTGCAGAGGGCTGAAGCAGCTGCAAGACTTGCAGTGCGCCGCTGGCTGCGTTTGAGTGCTGTCAACACAAGCATCGTTGCTCAATAGGTAAGTAATGGGAGGAGGTGAGGGAGGGTCATCTGCTGAACCAGAAGTCCACCAGCTCTTCTCTCGGACCATGTTGTTGGTG